TACATGCAGCATGAGTAACTGGTGGATAAGCCTTCGGTAAAAACGGATCCGGAAAAGTCAATGCGGCACTCGGGTCCTTGGTATTGTCGTCGGTATATTGTCCATTATCTACGTTCTGCTTTCGTAGTTTAAACAATAGTGAGTTCTAAATATACAGCTTTAAACCGATTAAGTATGAATGAATGAAATACCTGACAATCCGCACTCTTATAATCCAAAAGCATGAGTAACTCGTAGTGATGTATGATTTCTAGAAACTTTAAATTAATTTTGGCGCTCACAGGTCCTCATGAATATATGTGATTGCCGCATAAGGTTCTGTAAATGCGCAGGGCACCTTCAAGCTTAAATTATTCACCTTACTGAGGCAGTCAACCAACGCGTGGCTTTATTTTTATGATATGATATGTTTTGATTGTTATTAATAAATACCAAAATTTAAATTTGTTTTCCTAAAATTTGTTTTCCTAATCCCAGTGTCAGTAGTTAACGATACATTTGATCAACACACATATCATCATATGGTCTGACAGTCTATCATCTATACAAGCTATCTCTGCGCTTTCAACGCGGAGTAGAACTACAAGAGACTGTTATGACTCTCTTAATGCACTCGGATCCAACAACTTGCTAGAGATACGATGGATCGCTGCACACATCAGATTGTGGGGGATTAAAAAAGCAGATGAGCTGGCCAAGCTTGGTAAAATCAGTGAATCCACTTTAAAGTGTCCAATTCCACAATCCTACATCAAACGTCAAATCGACAAAAAAACTCAACAGACTGAATCAGGAATCTTGGTTAACTGATGGTCCCAGACACACCAAAGTGACACTCGGCCACAAGCACACCAACATCATCAAAAACCTCAACACTACACTCAGCAACAACAGATAAGATTACAGAACTACAGTTTACCTCATCACGGGTCACTGCGGCTTAAACAAACACCTTCACACCATTTGCAAATCAAACACCAGTGCTTGTCTTATGTGCGGCGACGTAGAGGAAACTGTCTCACACTTCCTTGGACAGTGTCCGGCTATTGCCCAAATAAGAGGTCAATACTTCCAGGACTACTACCTCTCTGTCAATGACATATTCGACAACCAACCCATCACCACGATTGTCAAACCGTACCAAACGCTTAATTGTGCCGGAAGAGCTGGAATCTGGATCAGACCAGGGTGACTTAGAGTATGAACTCATAAGCTGTCTCGTCTCATTGTACTTTTCCATACCCAGCTAGCACTTAAGCGTATCATCTTGACTCATGTCAATTTTTACACCATCCTCCACCATTCACTCTGATTTCACCGGCAACCTTCCCCAGGGTTGCCACACCCCAGAAGTTTTTTAACCTCTCTTTTTAAAAAAAGAAATTGGATCTATTATATCTGTTTCAACTCACCCGTTTCAACTCACCAGATATGAACCGTGATTGAGGGTAAAATCAGGAGACCTGCCAAAAAATATGTAATTTTCTAAGGATACCCTTTCAGTACATCTACATTGTAGTGTAAAAATAGTACTACATTATGATATAGTATTTTCTGATTGCAAATGAGAATTATACGAAGATGACTGCTCAGTACATGTGACTCCAAAATGTTTCTGATTATTATGTTCAGTTTTATTATTTTACCGACTAAATGATTCACTGGGATATGCTCCCAGACAGCTTCTTTCAGAATGTGAATATGAAAATTATACAAGAGTTGCTATAAAGCAATGAAAGGCATTAGTTTGGTCAAATCAAACAGAACATATGCTATCAGACTTTCAACTGACTGAGTTCATCGGTCTACTATACAATCTCGCTCCTACTAAATCGCTCGCCCAAATTTTAAGAAAATTCATGTGAAAAGGCCCTTTAGGCATGAAAGTGATCTAGATCGGTGTATTTTTGGACGCTGATTCCGAATCACCCCCCATGACGTAGGGTTAAAATGCTTCCCTGGAGAGTTATGGGCAAAAAACCGTTTTGGTCACGTGACAGGCTAGTAAAACGTGAATTCGATTATTTAGGGCTCGGGTTAGGGTTAGGGTTGTGGTTAAGATTATGGATAGTTTCGGGGTTATGGTTAGGGTTAGGGTTGGGATTAGGGTTTATGTAAAACCGTTTTGTACGGCTGCAAGACCAAAAAAACCAAAGTCACGTGAAATTTTTGGGCGAGCGATTTAGTAAGAGCCATACAATCTAACAAAATAAAAAACTAATCGTGGTTGTTTATTAACATGGACGTCGGTCTTGCAGTAGCGGAACCGCTTGTGAAACAAGCGCGTCATGCAGTACGCGTAGACTCATGGCTAAGTAAAGGCGGCGCTCAGTCTGTCATTCCGTTGACCATTGCTAATGATCTGGCCCGGCGCGCGCTACTTCGTAGCTCGTGCCATCGCAACATTTCGAGAAGAAAGCGGCGCGCGCTACTTCGAAGAAATTTAGACGAGTAACATCCGTCAATCATTCCGCCGAAACTTTATTTTTAAACATAATTAATAGCCAGGGGTCTTGTCCATTGCTAATTTTAAAAAGTAACATCCGTCTAAATGGCCCTGCGTGAATACAACTTTATTGTTTATTTATTATTGTTAATGGATTAGAGTTGTCATACGTTGTAAGATCCGCCGCGCACGAGTGCGCGGCTCCCCTGTATCGTAGAAACTCTACCGTACTGAAACTCCACCATAGTGAAACGACCGTGGGGTCACGACGTGATACAAAATTAAAGGACGTCACTACTTCGACACGCCGCGCGAACTTCGACACGCCGCGCGAATTATTATTTTTGTTTTGCTTCTGTACGAATGCCGAACAACGAAGTTACCTGGGGACCTCAGGCCCCAGAAACCCTTACTGGATGGGGCCTAATTTTGAAAGTAAAAGAGTTAGAGATTTCCGGTTTTTTGCAACATGTTCAAAACATGTAAAAGTAACGTTTGGAGTTATCTACAAATCTCCAGAAAAGTGTCATTTTGGGCCGATCAAAAGTTTGCAACTTTAACTTTGCAGATTCCTGTACTTTGATTGGTTGACGGATGTTACTCGTCTAAATTTCTTCGAAGTAGCGCGCGCCGCTTTCTTCGACGGCAAGTGCTACGAAGTAGCGCGCGCCGGGCCAGATCATTAACAATGGTCAATCTGATTGGCTGAATTGTGTCAAGTGCTGGCTGCTTGAAGATTGGAATCGAATGTTTATGATAATGATAGCCTGAGGTACCCAGGTAACCTCGAAAGTGATCTTAAATGATTCCTCGTTTAATTTTGTCATAGAAGGAAGTTATAAAAATATTTCATACGTATCAAATTGGATGTGCTTTTGGCGGAGATATAACCAATAACGTGCGCATTTAGGAAAACATCGAAAATCGCCTGTAAAATGTTAAGTGATTTAGCACGCGCAAGCGATATTGAATATATAATAATAATAATACTAGACTAGTAAGCTAGCTAGGTGAAACAAATTTCGCCGTTAACAGTTATATTAACTCACCACAAGTTTTTGATTGTAGGTTTACAACCTACCAGGACGCGCGCCGAGTTGGACTCGTCGACGGTCCAATATTATATATGGAACAGATATTTTACGAGTATCACCCGTTAAGTTTTTGAGCTTGTTATTCTCTTTCAAAAGTATTCCAAGTAATTTGTATAAGTGCATATATTAACTTTGTAGCCCGATGCACTACTGGGTCGCGCCGCGCATAAAATAATTCTTCTCGCAATCTTCGGTAGATCGGCGAGATGCACCACTGTGCCTCAACGAGCTGCGAAGGATTGACACCGAGAATCAAATATTAACTCTGAATACATTGCAATATAATTTATCTCGATTCAGGAAGTTTGAAAGAAGTTACAGCAATGCGCGCGATTTGGGGAGTGTGCTTTTGGCGGAGATATAAACTGCGCCTATTCGTAAAATATTCATTTCAAATATTCAAGACCGTCGACGAGTCGATCCAACTCGGCGCGCGTCTTGGTAGGTTTGTAGGTTATAAACCTACAACACTTACTTAAGGACAATGCAGCCTTTTCTGTTCATAAACACACCGATTGAAAATATGTTAGGCTAAGCGCAGGTTATATATGTTATATAGAAAATTATTTCAAAATTATTTCAAATTATTTCACCTCTCTAACTAAACCTGAGAGGGCATTGGTTAGAGCAACTTGTTTAACACTCGTTGTCTTGCCACGCATATCAATATGCTTATTGCTTTCCTTCGAAGAAAACTTTGAGAAAACCTTTGACTAACACTTTAACCTTTTAAAGATGACCACAGTTGTGTTGCTCTATCTGCGCGCTCTACTTCAACTTGCGCGCGGAGATTTTATTAGAAATAGTAGTATAGGTTCTTCATTCTTTAAAAAACAAGAATTGAATCGAGCGCTGATTTTGTTGTTTGATCTTAGGCGTCACCTAATTTCGCGCTTGTTTTCGTTTGTTTTATCCGTGATGTCAGTTACGTCGACTTGGTTAAGATACTTTTAATCTAACATAAAATGCGTCACGATAGTCAAAATTGATTTAATTTAGGTTGATTAACTTAACCTTATACATTCCTAGCGATAGTCGTTGGTCTTTACATTTACATTTCTAATTCCCATTTTGGACCATATTTTGACGTTTGTAGGACGTTAGCCAGGATTCATGAAGTGATCTCTTTGGATTGTGATATCACTTCTTTACGAATAGATTCTCGGTGCCACCTACATGTTCAGCGAACTTACTTTCTGATATCGTACTTGCAAACGAATGAACGACTCTAGAAGTTCTCCACGGTTGTCCAACGCTATACACAGCGCTCTACAATACATGACCAACATTATTGTCCACCGTAATGATACAACTATCATATTTTACCTGTGAACAATTTGAATCCTTTTCAGTCCCATTCTTGTAACAACGCTAAGCATGACGATGTTAATGGTTTTGAATCTAACTTGTTGTAATTATTTAGTTTCTTTAAACGTGTTACTAACCAGTCACCTTCTCGTAGCAGTAAGTCCTCCACCTATACCTTACCATGGCTTCTGCCAGCACCGCTCCCCTCCCCATTTTCTACAACAATGATGTCCACAACTTCTATTTGAAGCAGAAGCAAGAATTCCATTTCACTCAAAAAAGTGATAATGAATTTCTTATGTTTCTACTAGACACCGCAGTCCGAGTCATATCAATAGGTAAGTTTACAACTTAATCTTACATCTGTAATATTACTACATATCAATAGGTAAGTTTACAACTTAATCTTACATCTGTAATATTACTACATATCAATAGGTAAGTTTACAACTTAATCTTACATCTGTAATATTACTACATATCAATAGGTAAGTTTACAACTTAATCTTACATCTGTAATATTCTACGCACGGTGTTAAGCTTAGAGTAGCTGCGAATGTATCAGATTACAAGAATCACAATCAGGGTTATAATTACTCAGTTGTTGCCAATTTCAAACAGTTCACTCAAAGTTCAATTGTGTTAAAAAGATTAAAAGATCGTCCTAGAGAACATGATAAATACTCCCGTTACTTATTGTTCATTCTCATTCATTACCCAAACCACTTCACTCGTCGTCTCAGAAACCAATTAACTCCGTTTCCACTCACTGTTACTAACCAACACTCCCTCAGTACAACATCTAGCACCAGTTATAGAGGCCGTGTCTGACTGTTACTAACCAACACTCCCTCAGTACAACATCTAGCACCAGTTATAGAGGCCGTGTCTGACTGTTACTAACCAACACTCCCTCAGTTCAACATCTAGCACCCGTGATAGAGGCCGTGTCTCACTGTTACTAACCAACACTCCCTCAGTTCAACATCTAGCACCCGTGATAGAGGCCGTGTCTGATAACACTAACCAATACCCCCTCAGTTCAACATTTAGCACCCGTGATAGAGGCCGTGTCTGACTGTTACTAACCAACACTCCCTCAGTACAACATCTAGCACCAGTTATAGAGGCCGTGTCTGATAACACTAACCAACACTCCCTCAGTTCAACATCTAGCACCCGTGATAGAGGCCGTGTCTGATAACACTAACCAATACCCCCTCAGTTCAACATTTAGCACCCGTGATAGAGGCCGTGTCTGACTGTTACTAACCAATACCCCCTCAGTTCAACATTTAGCACCCGTGATAGAGGCCGTGTCTGATAACACTAACCAATACCCCCTCAGTTCAACATTTAGCACCAGTGATAGAGGCCGTGTCTGATGCTGGGATTGAAGTTGATGATATCGAGGATGATGTGTCACCCATACACACCCCCAACAACACTTCCAACATCTCGGCAGGTAATACAAAAACATATCATTAACATAATATATACAAACATATTATTAACATAATATATACAAACATATTATTAACATAGTATATACAAGCATATTATTAACATAATATGTACAAACATATAAAACATAATATGGCGCCCCACCGTACGTACAGTTTACATCCCTCTGATTTGTTATGGTTATGTGGTGTGGTTTGCAGTCAGTTTATGGCTTTTTGGTACGTCTCAAGGGTGTTAAAAGGTTGATGTCAGACTTTTAAATGACTTTTAAATTTATCAATCACGGTTTATTAGCGATGATTATATGGGATACTAATACTGAGTTGATTTAAAAAAGCTTCATTGTAAATGCTAATAATTTCAGGAGCCATGGATGTTGACTCAGTCGACCCAACCCCATCAGCCTTATCAGCAGAACTAGAACAGATTAACCAGGAGATAACTAACGCTCAGATATCTTCCCAACAACTCTCTCGACAACCCTCCGTATTTACCCGACGACCTTTACCCTTACCCGCTCCAGCACCCATCTCAATTCCCGTATCTGTTCCTGTATCCGCCTCGACTTCATCAGAATCCGAACTCATAATGTTACCTATCGCCCAATCCACCGCTATGTTATCCGTCTCCCAGCCGACAGCTATGTTGTCTCTCGCCCAACCCTCTGCTGTGCATACCCCTTCAGCAAATCGCTCAGACTCAAACCGCTCAGACTCTCTCGCCCCAAACGTGCCTTTAATTCAGCTCCCCAGCTCGGCACAATCTTCAGAAAACACTACGACCTCCCTTCCCTCCGCCTCTCAGCCCGTAGCTGAGCCCCCAGATGATTCCCTCGCCAACGTCAAAACCGAGCAACCAGTACCAGAAGTAATCGAAATAAAAGAGGAAGTGAACGACCTGACAGGGCCCGCTTCCGAATCCTCCGAACTAATATCGCAAGACACTTTAGATCAGCTCATGTCGTCAATATCAGGGGCTGAAGACAATGTAGGATTACAGAACTTTGTACCCACTGCGACTCCCTCCGGTTTACCTCCCTCGTTCCTCGACCGTGGTGCCGGTAATCCCTTATCCATGCTTGGTAGTCTCAACTCTGGTGATGGGCCCGGTCCTTCTGGCATTAATGTTCCCAACATATCAGAGAGTATGATGTAAGTCTTTTAAAATATTTGGGAAAAAACGGGAATAGTTGGAATTCCCATTTGTTATCCATTGAATGTCTCATAATGTTGTTTCACAAGATTTATTCGCTACTGTAACAGTTACAACACTCCTATTTGCTATCGGTTACTTAGCTCCTTCAACACTAAATTGCACTAACTCTTACAGTTCAATATTTACACACGTAACTTTATAGATTTATTCCCGTTATCCAAGAGACAACTTTATGGAGCCCTCTTTTATTTAAATTAATTAAATAAACTAACTTAATTTACAACCGACTTAAGATAAAACCCTAGCTACTTCTAGTCTGATTGTCTAATTATCTCGATCTTGCAGGAAGAACATAAGTGACGCCGGCCTCAACGTATCCAGCATTAAAGGACAAGCCAACCCAAGTAAGAAACACTTTAGTTACGCAGTTTAGAACCCAATACAAACCACTCATTTAAGCTCCGTATGGGGTTTTTCTTCACTCAGAAAACACGGCCAGACATCCTAAGTTTCTCACAACCGGTATTCAGCTGTAAGTTATAAATTAAACTAAGTGGTGCAATAACGAATACTTGTTATCCGATATGGGACATCTCATTTGTTTGGGGATGCGGTGATCTAGTCTACATGGCATTAACAGTGATACAAATGAAGAAAAGTATCCATTTGCGCTCTACAGTAACGCAAATTGCTCGCTTGAACACCAAATACCAGGCCCTCTATTTGAACTGTGCCCATGTGGAACATGTGGAACCTAACATGCACTGAAAACTCTCTAAATACTCTAAATACTGCTCCCCTTTTCGCATGCACTGAATTACCTCCCTTTCGTGCGGTTTGTGGAACCCCTTGTCTCTTCTCTCGTGAGACTGCTTGAATTAAAAGATAAGATCTCGTGAGACAGCATCTCGATAAATGATCTGGCACTTGGCCTAGCACTTGGCCTAGCACTGCTGCAATTAACCTTTTTTGACTAGAGGTTGAAATATTTACCGGGTGCGAGAGTTGGAGATACTTTTATTAAAGTATTGGGTTCTAGACTAGCTTTATGCGTAGGTTTGAAATATATGCAGTCGAGTCCGCATAATCCGGACAATATGCAAAGTCGCCTTGAATAAAACACCGTGCCTCTCCCTAATAAATTGTGTGCGGTCAGTGTAAATATTTGAGTGTAGTATGCGAGAGTGAGTGATGGATGGCGGTAAAATTATTCCGTTAATTTTCTGCGAGCTCTCTCTCTGTCTTGAGAGAGTGAGCGGCTGTCTCGAGAGTCACACCATGTGATGTCTCAACTTTTTGTGCGGTGTCTCCGTATTGTCACGTGGTGTTCCTATCCTGTCACGTGGTGTCTCAATGTGGTGTCACGTGCTACCTGGGTAACAGGTTTGCGAAGTAGCGTGGGAGGGTGAGAGTGTGTGTGTGGTGAGGTTAGCAGGGTTAGTGTTGAGAATATAGAGGAATATACGTCCTGTTCTTTGTCATGTAAAATGTACTTAATATTGAGTTATATTGAAGACTGCGCCTGATGGCTGGTACACTGGTGGAGGCTCTAATAACAGGTATGTTGTTTGTAATCAGAGGGCCCTGTGTGGAGTTCTCTAAAGAGTTTACCTGAAGGACAGCTCACTGTAGGAGTGTGGGATATAAAGTACAAACTGTAGGAGTGTGGGATATAAAGTACAAACTGCAATATAATATGTGGCATAAGTTTCAGAATTTTTGAACATTTGACTTTTTCCAGCTAATCGTAGGATGAATAAATGAAGTCTAAACCATGCTGAAATGTATTAACTTTTGAGGGCGTAAGGGCATTGAACGGGGGGGGGGGGGGGGGGGGGGGGGGGCATAAATACCAGTAAAACTGCTAGTTACCATAGTTACACTGCTAGTTACCATGGTAACAACCCCCCCCCCCCCCCATTGAACTCTGACATAGTCCCCTCTGGTTGTGTATGTTACAGTTGTGTTTTCTTAGTATCCTAAAAGTTGTTATCTGAAATATGGGAAGGGATGGGGTCTGAACGATTCTAGAACAAATTACATATTAAGCTGAAAATAAGATAAGTTTAGAACTAACAACCAGCATACTTTGACATGGTAATTGTGACCCATCATCAGCTGGCCTAGATTCTACCCTTTAAGCAAACTACTTTTCTTGGAACAACGAACAGCGCTCATCTCAGCTAATCTATCTATTTCACACAGTTGTGGGGCAGTAGAGAGTCAACAAGAAGTTGCATATATACATATAGCGGACACAACTTGCCATAGTCATAATATGGTTAATTAGTATAAATTATAGTTTGTAACTAACTTAAGTTAATTAGTATAAATTATAGTTTGTAACTAACTTAAGTCAGTGTCAGTGAAGTCATGTCAAGGTCAGGGAGGGTTTAGTTCTGTCCTAATTATATGTCAGTTATCCTACTTGTCTCAGTATAGTCTGTCCTTCTATGTCTGTACGATTATGACCTAAAGTATAATCTACCAGTTAATCATTATTAGATGGTGATGTCAGATAAAATTCGCATTCGAAGTTTTTAAAAATATAGCGTCCTTCTTACTTCAATGTAAGTTGTCTATTAGAAATGTCAGGCACCAATTTCATGTGACAACACTATAAAATGTGTGTTATTAATATGCACTAGAAATATGCGCTACAAGTATGCAGTACAAATGTGTAATACAATTATGTAGAAGTAGAAATGTCCCAAACATTTTAATAATGTGAGTAATGTTCAAAGTTTCCTAATATGGCGTTTCTGCGACTACAAAAAACAAGCTTCATTTATCATAATCTCCGCTGAGAAAGAAAGCTTGTTCTCCTTAGCGCACACAGCACAGCAATAATTATAAACTTTGTACATTACTCATTATAACATGTACATAATTAATTACAACACCAACATGTAAGTGCATATATTTAAGTGTATGTTTGTCACTTGTACGTGCTTTAAACACTGCGAAGAAGAACGGAGAGACGGAGGGAGAAACTGTGGAAGAGGTGCGTGTAAGTTAATGTCCTGTGTAAGTTCTGTAAACAAGGCTAGGTAAGGGTTTGTTCGTGTGTGAGAAAGTGTGAGAATGAGGTTGGAAATTTGCCAAATTTGAGGGGGAGATCTTGCTTGTGTACTAATTAATATACTGACTGGTCGTCATTTAAATTGAGAGAACATAGAACATGGATATGATGGGTAGAAGTCAAAAACAATGCCTGAACGCTTTGTAAACTAAATGTGAATCCTTTGAACGATCAGTGATACAAGCAGGATTTCCCTATTATAGAGTGATTAAAAACTCGACTGCAATTATTTCAGATTTACGCATCACCAATAGTTCTGTTTACAGGCCAAACTTTGCCTAGATTGTTAGATTTATTTTCGATGATATACCGAAACTTCGATAGAACCCCTTTTGAATGAAAGTACAGTTCTTCCTTCTTTCTATGGATCAAAATTTGGTCTGTTATCTTCAGAACGTATTGGTATAACTAGGATATTGTGTATAATTAACGTTTGCAGTCGATTGCCAACACTGTTATTTCTTTCAAACTCCTGCTCGCTTTTGGATTTAAACCCGAACTTTAGGGATCGTGAAGTTGTCAATCGATTGGAGGCGTCCTTTTCTTAATATGCATTATTGCCGAGTTTGTACAGAGTGAAAAGGGCTCAATTTCTGTTACTATTTTATATTCTACACAACACAAAGTCGTTCACTCTGTGCTTACAACGGCCGCGTTAAATGATTTTACTTTACCCCCAAATTCGCCTACAAAAGCTTGTGAAAACTTTGAGATTAGTAATTCTAGAAAGGCCTGGCCAATGAATGCAATGATGGCTTGTAAGTAAGGTTAAGGAATGAAATTAGCAGAGGAGAATCTGCAAACCTGCCTTGCATCGCCCATTCTAAGACTAAGTAGAACCGCATAGGGCCAAAATTTGGAAAATTTTGTCTCCGGGGATATTTTCGCTTTGGCTTGGGCATCGTTTTTCGGGGTACTTTGGCTTGATTTTCAGGAGCAGTTGATGATTAGCATTTGTAGCGATGCAGTATATTTGTTGTTTTCTTGTTCTGTAAATGTAGATAATTTTCATTGCGTGGTTACTGCTTCCTTGGTAGGACGCTGGTCGTAGGCCCAACTAGAACTCAGTTCGATTGATCATTAACATAAAATAGATAGTGCAACAAAAGAACGTAGCCAAACGACTAGCAAATTTGGCTTATTTTCTCCGGTTAAACCCAATCCTAGCTAACAAAGTATTTGCGCGCAGTGCGCGGCTTTTCTTTGTCTAATGTGGCGGCAAGTTTACCCAGCGGTTCTAGAACTTTCTGTACTGAGTGAGAGAGAGAGGGAGAGAGAGAGAGAAGTGGGTCACACACACATTCACCACTAATGAGAGGGTTACATTTCCTAGCTGGCAGGCGGAGCCACTAATTAGGGCGACCCTCAGTTCGCCTCAACATTCCTACCCTCTTTTTCTCCGCAGAGGGTAAAACTACTGGGGACGTTCGTTGCCACATATGTCAAAGAATCTTCAAAACGAATAGGAATGTGGCCAACAACTTAAAACGGCATATGAAAAAGATTCACCCGAAGTCCCTCACGCTGAAAAGTTAAAGTGTGTGGAGCTAAGTTTGTTAGCAATACGATATTCGACGAGCATGTTTGCCATTATGTACATTTGCTCGTGAATTCGAAAACAATACATAAGTATGTTGCCAAATAAATTATTCTACACTATTGCAACTAAAATGTCCGTCAAACATTCCGAACCAAAACCATCTTCGTATATAAGTTAATTAAAAAGATAACATACGTGGAAATTACTGTAATTCCAATTAAGAAACAACTACCTTGCTCGGTAGCACTATGGGATCCGATTTAATAAATTACTGATCTTTAATATCAATAATTAAATAACATCTTTAAATCATTCTGGCAATCTTCACAATACATTGATTTATTGATTTTAGTACATATTAGAGAGTAGTATTACCTGTTCATGAATCATGTGTATTGAACATGTTCGATTCAGCAACAACACAGCGTGTGCCCTGTAGCATTCCTAGGAGGCGTACCAAAATTAGATCAATTAATACCTCTGAAATCATCCCTATCTGCAATACCCGAAGTCCCTACACAGCGCTCATCTCCCGTGTTAAGACTCCTCCACCTTTAGGTGGTGAACGTCCTGTGATATATTGCCCGGCCTGCCAGAGAGTTTACTCCAGCAAGACTAATTACCGTCGCCACTACAAGGAGGTTCATCTCAACTGGAAGAGGGCTAAAACGACAAAGAAACACTTTTAAGAACACATCTCCGCAAGCAATCCTCGCTTTTAAGAACCATTAATATCCTGATTCTTAGCTTGTGTTATTATTGCTATTCTGTTAAAGTTCGGC